TATAAGATGGTTATCCACTAAGATCATGAAAGACCCCCAATGTAAAAAGGGGGCTGGCTTACCTGACATGTGATGGCTCATTATTACAGTCTGCAACATATTCTGGTATTCTCCATAGATCTCGGATCCAACCAGCACCAAAATATCCTAAAATACGAGAAGTTCAAAAGTCATCAAGATTTAAAAAGAGGAAAGGTTTGTCACAATAAACTTTCAAAACAACTGATTTTAGACCTAAAAATAACTCAACGTCTCACTTTATTAAAAGATAAATGAAAAAAAAGACATGGGTCAAGAGACCTCTGGGTAAGCGTCTTGTCACGGATTCCGCAAATCCATTCTGTGACGTCATTTATTGTTCTGTGGAGATGTTTAGGTCACCTCCCTTCCCTCGATGAAATTACCTAATTACTTAAAAAAAACTTGTTTCAAGAATTATTCACTTTTACCGCCTTTTGACCACCATTACCGACATATGATTCCCACAACAGAGGAAGGTTAAATTACGAAACTTCCCATGGGACAGTTCTGTAAAATAACCACCCGCTCTGCGAAGTTTTCGGAAAATTGAAATTTTTATTTAAAGACGGCTTCCCTCGACCAATTTAATGCAAAATTAGTCTTGGGTACCCTGGGTAGGAAGGACGAAGGTTTCGAGGTGGCTCGGACGAAAAATGTTTGTCACTGACTTCCCCCCCCCCCCTTGTTAAACAGGACTTACTGTATCAACTTACCTCCTGGAAAGCACCACCAAAGAAAAGCTTGTTTATCTCTTCCAAGATAAAAATGATGAAGACCCAAAAATCCACCAAACAACCAGAAAAAATAAGCTACACATAAACTTGCCATTTTTAAACTATCTAAGTTTCTTTTATCACAACAATTTGAACATTCTCTTCTGAAAATATATAATCATGGTATTTATTAAATATCACAGTTTTTTAAATGGTAGATACAAAGTTTACCATGTATATTGTATTTTGTGAGATTTGAGATTTAGATAAACTGTTTAAAGCCCACCGTTCTGAGGGTCTTCTTCTTTTACAACTACAGCCAAACGTTTACTATCTAAAAAAGAATTTTCTTCAAATTTTCAAGATTTCTCTTTGTCAAAAAAAAATTAGCAAGTAAAAAAAAACCTAGGTTAATATTATTTATTTTACATTACATGAGAAAATATCTGTTCTATGTTGTTAACTTTCGGTTGACATTAAGCTTAGCCATAGAATCTGAACTTATTATCATTAATGGGTTATTCCTTGTTATTTGAATGAAAATTGAAAATCCAATCTGTTTAAAAAGATGTTTCAACTTCTTAATCGGATTCAGACCGGCTGTACAAATGATTCTAAAATATGTTTTACAAAAATTTATATATTAACTCAAGCATGCTTTATATATTTAAAGGGGATGGTGGAGTTGGCACATTTGATGTAGGGGGGGGTCGAAAGCTAGGGATCCAGGGAATACAGTAGTAGCAACAAATCCAGTGTTTGACCATCTAATGATCTCTTATGACCTCTAATGACCTCTAATGACCTCCACAAATAGAATATATTTCAACCATGGCTATTATGCATTTCAAACGAAAGCTAGAAACCCAGGGAATACAGTAGTAGCAACAAATCCAGCGTTTGACCTTCCAATGGCCTCTAACAACCTCTAATGACCTAAATGACCTCCAAAGATGAAAATGTTTTAACTACGGCTTTATGCATATCAAACGAAAGATAGGAATCCAGGGAATACAGCAGTAGCAAGAAATACAGTGTTTGACCTAATAATGACCTCGAATGACCTAAATGACCTCCAAAAATGAAATTTTTTTAACAATGGCTTTGATGGTCAAACACTGGATTCATTGCTGCTATTACTGTATTGCCTGGGTTCCTAGCTTTAGTTTGATATGCATTAAGCCATGGTTCAAACATTTTCATTTTTTAAGGTCATTTAGGTCATTAGAGGTCGTTAGAGGTTATAAGATGGTTATACACTGGATTTGTTGCTGCTACTGTATTCCCTGGGTTCCTAGCTTTCGTTTGATATGCATAAAAGCCACAGTTGAAATATATTCTATTTGTGGAGGACATAAGAGGTCATTAGAGATCATTAGAAGGTCAAACACTGGATTTGTTGCTACTACTGTATTCCCTGGATTCCTTACTTTTATATACTGTATACTGTATATTATATATATGTTGCTTTTTTATTTGTTTGTTTGTTTTTGTCCAATAAACGGCAGAACCGATCGGCCCCAAATTTGGTGTGGGACCTCACATGACACCAGGGAAGGGTATGGATGATCAAAATTAAAAAAATTAGCCTTCAACAAAATTCAATTCTCATAAAATTTTGAAAATGCACGAATTTTTGTTTGATAAAATACGCGAACGTTTTTTTTTTATTTTACAATGTATACAAAGAGAAAACGTTCAATTGCTATAAAAGATTAGATCATAGAGTGAAGCGCCATGAAAGCCTAGTAATTAATATTTTCATTGTTTACATTTTTGTTTATTATTAAATGATCATAAATTACCTATATTTCTCTGGGTGAACAGTTCAAGATGGAGATCTAGAGGATTAAGCCCAGGAACACGTGACAGGTCTCCTGTTCAGAAATTTAAATGTATTGTCGAATGCCGGAGACAATTGGAGGCTATTTGATATTTAAGCGACTCGTTCTTTTATAATCAGATGTAATCTTTTTGTAAAATATATTCTGTTCGTAAAATCTATGAACGTATGGAACGTATAAAAAAAAACACCAACTGAGCTAAAAGTAACATATGGTATGGGAGAAACACCAGATAAATTTGCAACTAAAACATCAAATACAATAAATGTATGCAATACATTAAATTTGAAACTTTAAAAACACTTGTTTGGCTTTCTTTTCAAAATACACAATATACATTATATCGACATTCCTATTATTCAAACTGAATTATAATCAAATTGTATCTTTCACTTTTTCACTTTTTAATCCATTCAAGGGATACTGATTTCTTAANAAAAATATAAACAGTTAAAAAATATATCTTTGCACATTTGGCAGGGGAGTATATTCTTACTTCAAGAAGAAGAGTATATTCTAAATTCAAGAAAAAATGGAGAAAAAAGAAAGAATAAAATAAAGAAAAAAAAGGAAAAAAGAGAAAAGAGAAAAAATGAGAATGACATATTCTTGCCCTTGGTTACTACTTGACAGTAAATTAAAGATAACTATCAAGGTAAGTTGTGCAAAATGACATGAAAAAAAACAGAAATTTTTTTCCCCCCAAAATTAATTATAAATTAAGAATATACTCCCATGATTGGCAAAATCTGACACTCAGAATTAGGTCTGGGCCAAATCACGGTTTGGAACTTTCTTCTCCTGTACTAAATTGGTACCTATTAATAATGGGGAAGAGTGCTTACTGCTTAACTAAGTAGGTACCTATTATTTATAGTACGGAAGAGGGCTACAACTAAGTAGATATCTATGAATGGTAGGGAGGAGTGCTACTTATAATTAGCTACCTATGAATGGTAGGGAAGACTAAGCAGGTACCTACCTATGAATAGTAGGGAAGATTTAGCATGAAGTAGACACCTACCTATGAATAGTAGGGAAGAGTGCTGTATGTAAGAAGTCCTGGCAGACGGATTTCATGTACAGATCCATGAGTGTTGTTGTGAGGCTGGCTCCTCGGAATAAAGTTGAAGTTTCCTCTTCCCTCTCAATCTCGAGCTGACTAAGCGAGGCCAGGAGGTCAGCCTCCTTCTTCTCAAACCTAAGAAATTATTTTCTTTAACTAATAAGTTTTGTAACATAATGAGAAAGACCACAAACTGAAAATTATCAATTATAGTTTTTTTTAAGTTTTGCTTCCTTAAACAAAATTAAATGCTACTTTTTGTTTCGTTAAGGTTAAGATCTTTTGGGGTGGGGTGGCTAGTATGTGAGATCAGTTCTCTTTAGATCACTGAAGTTAAGCACACTTGTCCGCAGCTAGTAACTGGATTGGTGTCCAGGCTGGTGTTCACGGTTTTGATTCCCGCACTTCTCACAAACCTGTGGTTTCAAAATCATCTGTAGTCAACATCTGGTTTGCGAAAGGGTGCGTGCTTTCTTCTCAACAAGAAAGAAGCTTGAAATGGATTGATCCAAGTGAATGATGATAAAGAGAGGAAAGGTTGACAAGCAGAAAGAGTCTATCGCCACCCCATTCACAGTCCTATTCTAGGTCTGTCATGTGTTGCAGTATACTAAGTAGCCTACACACCACCTATCAGGATGGCGGCCTTATGTACTCCTATATCTTGTGCTCATATTGTGATTTATTGATTCATGTGTCAAGCTTATGTTTATGAGTACCTAAGGCTTCCTTGTTTCAGAGACAGCGCTTTGACGCCTCCCTGCGATATTGTGATTACCGTTTTAAACACTCGTTCCCGTGGATCCGACGCTCCCCTGGACTCGTCCACTACTATTGTTTCTCTACTGTCCCTTCTCCTACCCGGTCTGTGTTCTCCTCTCTCTGCTCTCCACGAGACAGACCAGCTGGAGGTACGACCACTTACGTAAAGTTTCCAGCTAAAGATACCTGGGGGTATCCAATCTGGGTTTAAAAATTATTGGGAGCAATTAGTGTGATGTTTCCTATCTCTTAGGCACCCACGCGTCATTCCAGTGTATCACAAGAATTCCTGCACTCTTCTATTTTAGGCCTAAGAAGCCCTTAGGCAGCTGGAATCTTGTCAAATACAAAAACCCCTCCAACACCAAATTTTCGCAATAGAAATATTTCGAGATTCAATTGTAACAACCCGATCATGTCCTGGGAACAAAAACATCTCTTTCAAACAAAAGTTAAAGTGCTTACCTGCAGATTCCCTTTTCTTTTCCTCTTTCTCCGCATCATCTTCAATCATCTGAAGCCATTTATCCGTCGGATTCTCAGGTTTAGGTCTGACCAGGGTCTCCTCAATTCTAATCAATTAAAGGGACTGTAAACAGAATTTTAAGTAACCCTTCCATGCAAAGATGGCAATGCCTTGTCTGATAAAGTATAAATTAGATATCAACGTAAAAATTGTTAAAAACTGACAATTTTCAGTTGTGGTTTCTCTACAAAAGCTAGTAGTATTTTTAGATCTAGAAAAACGAAAATATCTTCCACATTTAAGACGGGGTTTTCAAGGGTACAGTTGTGAATCGGGCAGTGTCATCTTTGTCGGAAGGGTCACTTGAAATTACACGTCCAGTCTTTTTAAGATTTATAAGTATTTTACTGATTTACCGCAATAGTTAATACTTTATTTTGTTTTCAAGATATATTTTTAAAACAACTTCTCTTTTTCTTAAATCCTTTATTTCGTTTAATCTTCTATGCTCCTTTGTTCAGTTATCGTCATTTTGTAATTGAAAATGTGTTTTTAGTTTATAATTCCAAGCTTAAAATCCTTTCCATGTATCAACTTTCTTAATTTTACATTTCCTTTCATTTTCACTTTTCTTCATTTTTTACAAATATTTCCACTTAATTTAACCGCCTTAAGTTTAATTTATTACTTTGATACATCTAGTTTGTTATTCTAAATATTTTACGTAATGTTTTCGCGTTGGTCAGGGGTATTAAAATCTTCGGTAGGTTCCTCTAGTACATCCCCTATCTTCTTAGACTTCTTCATTCCATCCATTAACACCTGAATATCGAAAGAAAATGGATATCTAATCCAAAATGTTCAAAGGCATTTATATGATATCATTCTGAATCGTTAATGCTTCTAAAAATATTTCATAGATAAGATTTTAAAGAAGTGAAATAAAATGATCTAACCTCAACTTTTCCGTCAGGTTTGACCACCCGTCTTTCCAGGGCAAAAGATTGTTTCATTTTCTCCCGTTCTATCCAGGACTTGACCACATCAGGAGTCTTAGTAGATACACAGGACGCAACCTGCTTCCAGTTCTATAATATCATTTATTAAAGGTTAGGTTGAGAAAGGTAGATTGAAATCAAGATTTTCAGGATCCTTTTCCTAGAACTATTATACACCAAATAGATTCTAGTACATTAGATGGCAACGTAGTATTTGTACACACTCAATACAGCTATATTCTTACGTCACACGTGTCAACTTAGGTTTTGTGTCCGTCAAAATTATTGATAATATTGATAACTAAAAAAGTGCTTATCTTACGGTAAAATAAGTGCAATTTTATGTTCTTTACTCTCTGTTTTACAAATTTACTT